AGTGGAGTGTCTGAACGAGATGTACGGTTGCACAATTCATCCGCCGCCAGGTCTCACGGTCTCAGAGGCCCAGAATTTTGGCGTGCGCCTGCTGACCGACATCTACAGTTCGATACCACCGCCTCCTTGCACAGCCGCGCAAGCCCTGGCGGAGCTTGGCGGCAGTCGCCCTGGGTACTCCGACTCTGACCCTCGGCGCAGCTTCCAGCCTGACCTAGTCTCGTTGCCCACCATGGGCGGTCTGGCCGACGGCGAGCAGGTGCTGTCCGGTCTGGCCCTACAACGCTGGAGGTCCATTTCGACGAACTTGCGGACTAGAGTAGACTCCGACTCGACCGCGACCACAAGCACAATTCAACCTTATAGTGATCCTGCTCTTGTCAAAGATCAGAAGCGTTATGCTGATTTCATCATGCAGATGGTACGGGCTAATCTTGTATCGCTCCGAGCTGAACGGGCGGCCACTGTTGGCATCTTCTTTGTTGCAAAAAAGGATGGCAGATTACGGATGATTCTGGATACTAGAGCGGTGAACATGATGTTCGATGAGCCAGCCCACTCTCGTCTGCCGACTCCCTCATCCTGGGCATCCATGGAGATCGGAGTCACGGATGATTTGGTGCTGTCTCAGATGGACGTTGACAACGCGTTTTACCGATGTAAGGCTCCACCAGGGGTTTCGGATTGGTTCGCTCTTCCCAGAGTTTCGGCCAGTCAACTTCGCCGCGTGGACGGCAGGTTGTGCGACCAGCTGGGCATCACGTCCACAGGCTACGTCACACCGCACCTGGAGGTCATGGCGATGGGCTGGTCCTGGGCGCTCTACTTCTGTCAGGCTATGGTCACGGCCAGCGCTCTTCGAGCGGGAGTGCCACCCTCAGCCTTCTTACTGGACAAGAAGCAGGCACCTGACGTCACTGGCGACGGCTTCGGCACGGCCATCTACGTGGACAATGCTGGGGTCGCGGGCGCTGATGACGACGTCGTCAGGGGCATGGCCCGAAAGCTTTATGCGCAGTTAGCAGCTGATGGCTTACAATGCAAGGAGCTCGAGCACGGTCTTCCCGAGGCTCAGTTCACTGGAATGACCTTGGACAGGGCCAGCGGGCGCATTTCAGTCGGCCATCGCCGGTGCTGGAAGGTGCGCCTCGCCATCAAGGGTATCCTGGACGAGGGCTTCTGCTCAGGCGAGCTCCTTCACCGCATTGTGGGCCACTTCACTTGGTCGGCCATCCTTCGTCGGTGTCTGCTCAGCACCCCGCGCGCCATTTACAGGTTCATCGACGTCGCAGGTCCCAAGCGGATTCGCCTTTGGCCAGCCGTGTCGAAGGAGCTTCGATGGATGATGGTACTGCTTCCGCTTGCCTACGCTGACACTAAGAGGCCATGGGCTACAGTGGTTACGGCTTCAGACTCCGAGGGCGCCAACGCGACCGACAACGGGGGGTTCGGTATTGTGAACCGGAGCTTCCCGCTGGAGACTGTCCGAGGTTGGGGCCGCCAGAGCGAACGTTGGAGGTTCGCAGTCGACGATGCAGTTCAGGCTCGACAGCGTGCCTTGGCCGAGCCCGACGGCCAGGTCAAGACCGTGCCAGATTCAGATTGCCCCCCAGACGAGCTTCCACCTGAGTTGTTCGACATCCGTCGTGGGGACATTGGCGACTTCAGCGAGTGGGGCCTCAAGGTGCGGGGGCGCTGGCGGCTCGCAGAGAGCATTACTTCTTCGGAGGGCCGTGCCACCGTCATCGCAGCCAGAAATCGTCTCCGCTCCACCCGTCAATTTTCGCATCGTCACCTTTTCCTGGGAGACAATCTGGGGTTTGTCTTGGCGCAGGGTAAGGGCAGAGCCAGCAATGCCAGTATCAACAGACATTGTCGCCAGCTCGCCGCCTTGTCCATGATCTCGGATTCAGACTTTGTCACAAGGTGGGCCCCCTCAGAGTTCAATCCTGCCGACGCCGCATCGAGGCTCAAGACTGGGCCGCCCGTCTGGGGCGGCGGCGGGCCGCGAGACGCTCGCCCTCCCTGGATCGTCCGAGATGCCGAGGCGCGTGTTGCGCTCCAGTCTGCTGTCGAGACGCTCGCCAGGTCCACAGACAGCCAGCACCTCATCAACGAGTTCGACGATGGGCACTGGACGCTCGGCGGTGGCTCTCAGCCGCTGAGACCATCAGGCTATGATTTCGAGGACTTCAATGACGGCCTCCTCGAACTGGACGGCTCAAGTGACTCCGAACCAGAAGGCGCTGCTAGCCAGGAGACTGCCCATGCCCGCCAAGAGGCCTGTGACAGAGGCCAGGAAGGACCGCACGTCGCAGCTTCGCACTCAGAGGGCAAGGCGCAGACGGCGCGAGCACATGGACGAGGCAGTGCATGCGAGGCAGTTCGGCCAGTATTTTTTGGAGGCCAACAAAGTGACTCGTCTATCGGCGATGAGGTACGACAGGTACTTCCAGGAGTTCAAGGACTGGGCCAGCACCAACGGAGTGATGTTGAGTTCGAGCTCGGACATCAGCAGGGCCATGCTGGAGTATCTGGAGGAGCTCTATGCGGCGTTATACCTCAACGAGCTGGAGTCCGCACCGTGCCTCATCTTTCTCTTTCGGCTCTACTTGCGGCCGAGCAAGTGTCGGGGTCTTCGTGTACATCAGCTAGTGCCTCCACTGGCGGGTTCAAGGACTTCTCACGGGGCACTCTTACTTGCGCCAGAGGAGGAGGCAGGGCTCACCAAGACGAAGGAGTTCGACGAGAGCATCTTGCTGGACAGCTTGGAGTTGACATACCTATACCCACGGTTTGCTACTTGGAAGAAACGCAACCCGCTGGACAAAGGGTGGTCCTTCGACTATCGCAAGTTCTCCAGCCTTTTCAAGAGGGTGAGGGAGGTCGCAGACCTGGGGCAGGCGAAGCTCCACCCGTACATGAGGAGGCACATAGGCGCCAGCGACGATGCTCTCAGACAGACTCGATCGTTGGAGGCCATCAAGCGCCGCGGCCGTCGGGCCACGGACACTGCGGTGAAACGGTACGAGAAGCACGCCAGGGTATTGAAGTCTCTCGAGGGCTCACCCGTCAGAGCGCGCGACTACGGCAGTCTGATCGACAAGCAGCTGAGCCAGTACATGGGCCTTCCAGCCAGAGTCCCTGTTCCTCCCGGGACCACGGCCACGGTGCTGGTGGCAGCAAAGTAAGGAAACCTTTCCATGAAGGTCGTGGGGATCACAACGCGGGTTTAGACGTTTCTCTGCCTGCCCACATGGTTCGAGCAAAGTTGCGACAGGTATTGCGTCAGTTTCTTCAATCCAGTTATGAGCGCAAAGTGTATCTAGATTTGTTCTCTGGCACTGGGACCATTGCCGACTGCATGAAATTTCAGGGTGAGAGCTGTATCAGTTTCGATGTGCTCAACGGCCCAGAGTATGACCTGTCGAACGCAGTGGTGGTCAACGTGCTCATAGGTTGGATTCAGTCAGGCATAGTCAAGGGCGTGTTTGCAGCCTTTCCGTGCAGCAGCTGGACTCCGGCTCTCTTCCGCCAGATCAGACGATCATGGTGTCCCTACGGGATTCCCGACCCGACCCCTGCTGAAGCAGTTCGTCTCAACCTGGGCAATAGCACGCTCATGGCCACCAGACGGCTCGTCAGGGCTTGCATCAAACAAAAGGTACCTCTGCTCCTTGAGAACCCTCACGCGTCCAAGGCCTGGCGTGAACCCAATATGGCGGCCCTCATGGGCCACCCCTCTTGTAGACAGCTGGTTCTAGACCAGTGCGCCTTTGGGGCGCGTTGGCGCAAACGCACCCGCTTTGTAGGCTGGCACGTCCCAATGCTTAGACAAGAGAACGTTTTGTGTTCCGGCCATGGTTCTTGTAGTTTCTGTTTTAAACCTCGCATAATCTTGCGAGGAAAGCTCCCTGGAAGTAGTGTCAATCTGACCGCTCTCGCGGCATCTTACCCCAAGCGATTGTCCAAAGCGATTGTCCTCTGGGTAATTAGGTCGGCAGAGGCTCTTCGTGGGGCTCGATTGTCTCGCTGTTTAGGTTGAGGTTGCACCTCAGGCGGCTCCAGGGCACAGTATGGGTCTGGGAGTTGCTGTGTCGTTTGTGGCCTGTACAGGCCCGTGCTTGCCGAGGCAGAGGAGCCTCGGCCTGAGCTCGCTCGAGGGATAAATCTATTCGCCATGCAATTTGATCAGACAGAGATTGAAAAACAGATGTGCATCCACAAGGCTGCGCCTGTTTCCGTCTGGCCCGAGGAGGAGAGATGCTACAGTTCTCGGAACGTCTTTCTCTCTCGGTGCCTGGCCGCAACTGTTTACGCTCAAGTCTTTCCACCCGCCGTCCCCGCCTTCTGCCTATATAGTTGGGAGTTGCTGTGTCGTTTGTGGCCTGTACAGGCCCGTGCTTGCCGAGGCAGAGGAGCCTCGGCCTGAGCTCGCTCGAGGGATAAATCTATTCGCCATGCAATTTGATCAGACAGAGATTGAAAAACAGATGTGCATCCACAAGGCTGCGCCTGTTTCCGTCTGGCCCGAGGAGGAGAGAGGAAAATAAGAAAGGAGGAGGAGGAAGAGGAGGAGGAGGAGGAGGAGGAGGAGAAAGAATAGAAAGAGGAGGAGACGAGGCCCCAACTTGGGCTGCGGCCTATCCTCCCCTCCTAACCACCTGCGCGACGAGGAACGATAGTCCCTGCGGGGTGCGGGCACGCGACGCCAGGTGGCTCTTGTCCTTGCGAGTCGGCGCCATGTAAGATCAGATGCGGGAATCTTGCTTAACGTTTCTCCCTTCGGGATGGTGTCATCGAATGCAAGATGCGGATAGCTAGTTTGACGGACGGTTCTCTCCCTCCCACCTCCACCCCCCCCCGTCCATCCCTCTCACCTTTTCCCTCCCTCCTGCCTCTTCCCCCTCCCTCGCTCATCTCCCTCCCCTCCCTTCCCTCTTTACCCCTTCCCTCCCCTCCCTGCCGCCGCCCCGCCCCCCTCCGCTGCCGACCTCCAGGTCGTGTGGCGCCCGCGCCCGTCGGGGAAGCCGGGCCACCCGCTCGGCCGCCTGGAGGTCGGACGCCGGGGTGACGTCCAGAAGGGGGGGGGGGGGCGGGGCGCGCAGGCGGGGGGGCAAGCCGAGGCCAGGGCGAGGGTAAGTTGGAAGTTCGGGTGTGGATGCATCGAGAATCTGTGAGATCGGGCGGCTCCGGAGTATTGGGCGCCGCGGCCCTGCCAGAGCGTCCCGGAACGCTCTGAGAGCGCTCTGGAGTGCCCCATGACGGATGCGTCCTCGTCCTGGCCCCGTCCGAACGGAGAGCACAGACTGGCCAGGAGGCGGAGTTGCGGCAAGAGACGGGGGTAGCACAGGCCAGCAGGGGGAGACAGGCCAGCGCCCGACCTCGAGAAGGGCGCGGGCGAACATTCGCCAAGGGGAAGCGGGTCCTGAGGGAAAGAAATCCTTAGGTTTTTTGTCATTACCAGGCTCTCGGGGCCCTCCACGAGTACCGAGCACCGGGACCGGAAGCGACTCTTGATGAAGAGGTGGTCCTGAGGGAAGGCCCCAGGGCCCAGGACCCATTTCCCTCAGGACCCGCTTCCCCCATGCTGAAACACGCAAGCCAATTCTTGTCACTTTTCGGTCCGCCGTATGGCTGATCATTTTTCGGTCCGTCGCATGGCATGGGGGAGGGGGAGGTGAGGGAGGAGGTGAGCGGAGCCTGGAAGGAGGGATGGAAGGGGGGAGGAATGCGTGGGAGGGGGGGCCCGCGCTCACCCCCACCCTCTGCCTGGTCCCGTCTTCCACCCCTTTCCCGTGGCCCCTTCCGCTTTTTCGCCCCTCCCCTCCCCTCTGTCCTCCCTCCCTGCCCCTGCCCTCCGTGCCCGTGAGACCCAGCGCCCTCTGCACCCCCCTTGAGGAAGAGGCTGGTGCGGTCGACGACGACGACGACGACGACGCTGACGACGCTGACGACGCTGACGACTACGACGACGACGACGACGACGACGACGACGGGTAATCTCGCTTGAGGCCCCGGAGGTTTCCTATTTCATATCGACCCCGCACGCACTGCAGAAGAGCACTACCCCGAGTGGGTATATGGAAACATGCAAGACATTCTTCCGAGGACATGGGAGAGGAGGAGGCGGAGGAGGAGGAGGAGGAGGGAGAAAGAGGAGGAGGAGGAGGACCAGTGGAAACCCAAGACTCCTCAACGATGTTGGAATAGACTCTCCCTCCAAGCTCCCTCTTCACAGGCCCCTTCACGAGTTCATGTCAGGAGGGACAACACAGACACAAATAATCGTCGATTCTCCGGAAAATATGAGAAAATATGTGTAGTGGGGGGGAGCACGAAACTCCAGAAAATGTTGAAAATCCTAGGATGTGTGTGTATATTTGTGTGTGTGTGTGTGTCCCTGGGCCCCCTCATCTTTTTCACTGGGGGAACTGCCTCGTTGGGAGATGACCGTTTGAAGACCCTGACGCGTGCCAAAACACAATTCTTGGGACTCCAACGCCACGAATCGACACGATTGTTGCGTGTTGGCGATCCGGAGTCGTGCCAGAACGCCATTCCTGGGACGTCAACACCGCGAATCAACTTCACTGTTGCGCCTTCACAATCCTGAATACTTCCAAAACACAACTTCTGGAGCGTCTGGCACGTTGACCATGAGACTTCGTGCAACTCTTATGTGCGTGTTTGAAACGAATGTGCTCGGTTGAAAACGAACTGCCTTCAGCCCGTGACACATTTTTGCATTTTTCAAACGCATGTGGGCGGCGGTACTGCGAGAGCCACAATTTGGAAACGACCCGCTCTCCATCTGCGAAGCTGCTGCCAGCTTCCAAGCTTCAATATCATAAATGGTGAGGAAGTCTCCGGCGAAACGCCCGGCCCGCTCCTTCGACCAGCCTCGGGGTGCGACAGGGAGGAGTTATCCATAAGGAGAAGGAATTTGGGAGGAGGAGGAGGAGTTGACAACGGTTCGGCAAGGCTACGGCAGCCGCACGACTACACCGACGGCACTGAAAAAGACCTCAAAGAGACCTTCTACAAGATTTGCCACCAGCAGCATATCAAACGATAAAGTTTGCCGTCAACGAGAAGACCAGCGTTCACACCATCTACCAGAGCACCGAGAACAACACGTTCCATTGCTCCATGGCCAATGGCGACTTGCAATATATTGACAGGCTCCGAGCTGCTATCACTCACCAAACTACTCGCAGGCGTGCTACACACTTCAGGCGCCACAACTCAACACCCACCATGGGCCACTTGGTCATAGACAGGACGAACAGACACATTACACCACCATCCTCATACGTCCAAGCACGTTGCGCAGAACTCATGGCAGTATTCTACTACATCTACGAGATGCTCAACCAGTGGAAGGGTACAGTGCGGGTACCACCATCACCACGCCAACCTACGATGCCGCCGACTCAGTACGAGCTACTAGCACTTCTACATGCTAACCTAACCCGAAGTGGCTCCCACAATCGGAAGTTTTACCGACAGCGGTCAAGAACCTTACCTACGACGCCACATGGTACCAGTGAGTCCATTTGGCCACGCGTTACAGCCCAAACCAACAATATTCCTACCACACCCAATGGGAGCAACCTTCAATTACAAGAATCCTGCTAACATCTGTGGTATCCCCACGGACATCGACATGAACCACACGAACTACAACGGGACGCAAAACAAATTTGGTGGGCGTCGACAAACAGTGTAAACACAATGCGAGCACCAGGACATGTAACAGAAGCGACGTACTGAAAAATGGCCAACGCCATTTTGCCAGGTTGTACCATTGTGAAGATCGCGTGCCAAGACCACCACATGGCCATATTTACCGATCACACGATCCATTTGCACCACTCCAACCGACTCCCCTCCCCCAAGCCCAGGATGCCAATGCCTCCTGCATCCACAGCTGCACCATATGTCCCAGCAACAGTGACATCACCACCAGGACCAACCAACCCTTCGAGGGAACGCGAGGCCAATGCTCCGCCAGCGTCGACAAACACTACACATCAAGCTGCTACGCCACACGATGGCGACTACGATAGTGGCCACGAGAGCGACAGCGACGACTACAAATACGTTCCCACGCCCTTCACGTTGGAGTCACTACCTCCCAACCCAGGACACGACATGCACTGTCCTACGGGCTGGAAGCCATACGGATCCACGGACGAGCACGTGGATGCGGGCAGTTGGTTCTACGCAGTCTATTACAAGGAAAAGGGCAGTGTCTATATTGACAGAGTTCCAAACGACCACCTGTTAATATATACGTGGCAAAGGCACCTCGACAAATACAATCGCGCGTTCCTCATCCGCAACTCCTACCCGTGCGCACTGCCACACCGACCACGCACGCCAGACGTGAGTACGACGCCATTGCGATTATTTACCCACCTACCGAGCCACCCACGTATTCTGCACTCGTGGGCGCTCTCCGCGCTGTCACGCACGTACGGCCGCCATTTCCCAGGCTGTCAGAAGTGCCAAGGCTACAGTTGGGGACATCGTTCAACGATATGGCGCTGTTTTACAAAAAAGGTGAGGGTTTCAAATTCTTTACGCTTCGCGTGCCCCCACCAGCCCATCTCACAGCAGCAACTCTCGCGAAGCATGCCGACAGTCGTGTTTTTCAGGCGTGTGTCCGCTTGGCCCCGCATATCTCCCCTGTTCCTCCTTCCCCCCGCCTCCTTGTACATCCTCCTTGTGGGGGGAGCGGGAGAAGGACGAGGCGGAGGAGGAGGGAGAGAAAGCGTTCCTCGTGGTTTGAGTCGTTTGGGGATTCTCGTCCTGGTGTGAGTCGTTCGGGCCCTTCTTCCTGGTGTGACTCGTTCGGGCTCCTCGTGGTGTGAGTCGTTCGGGCTCTTCGTCGTGGTGTGAGTCGTTCGGGCTCCTCGTGGTGTGAGTCGTTCGGGCGCAAAAGGTGAGGGTTTCAAATTAGCAACCATTTTTTCAGCCAGTACGTCCAAAATAAGACCAGCAGGCCTACGGCAGCATTAGACGCCCGTACTACCAAAGCTATCGCGACGGTCCCGCAATGGCTCCATTCTTGTCAGGCAGGCGACTGGGCAGAGACTGCACATTTGCAACCAGATATCTGCGGCGAACGCGACGCGCCTTCCGCTAAACCGACGCGCCATCGGCAACAACGTCCTACGTCAGCAGCAGCCGCTCCGACGCCGCGCCACCACCTCCACCCTGAGACACACGGGCGACCAAATTGGTGGACCCACCGACGACCAGCCAGCAACACGCCAGCACGTTTACTCAAACACCGCAGGCCTTTACAAGCAACAGGGCCACCCGCTGCCCAATGCACCAACCACCACCGCACCTCCGGATCCCAGTGATATGCCCACCACATCAAGCAGTAATTTTGCAAAGTTGGCCCGTGGACATTCCACCAGAGCTACGTGCGCCACAGACGCGGGCAAGTATCCAAGCCTGCTTTTACCCCAAGGCTCCACCTGCCATGCTAGATAGACAACTGGCACTTCGCCAGCGCCAGCATGCAATGGGTGGATTGATACGCGACGCGTGGACGACGCCATTTACCAGCAGCCATTCGCACTACTTGGGTACACTTCACGACCACCTGCGGCAATGCCAGGCATTTAGAAGTGGTCGACGGACGCAACTCCCGACCCCACTATACCCAACCGCGTAACGATAGTACTGCAGCGCTCGCAGGTCCACCTACACCTGAACCGACATTTTCAACGCCTGAGTACAAGGCGCCACCGACGCCGAAGCCCCTGCGTCTGACGCACCGTAAAGATTGGGCCATGCTGGGGCTAGCCTACGACCTCACATCGACCACAACGGTGGCTTCTTGAGCCTCAACTCACACATGGACATAGAGCACTGACCAGCCGCCCTCCTTATCATGTTTGCGCTCCGCGTCTTCCTTCTGGTTGCCTCGTTCCTCTTCTGCTGCTGTGGCCCACGTGCGTATGCGCCGCCCCTTTCTGATGCGATGTTCGTTTTCTTTGCTCTCGTCCGCCAATGGACAGGGAGGCTCGTACTTCGGTCGAAAA